TAAACTTATGATTTTATTAGACAAATATGCAAAAATAAGTTTTACAAAAACAGTTCCAATTTAGCGCACTCGACAATCTTATAAATAGTCGTGCGATCCGACATAGCGCACCCGTCCTTACCTGGCGTTGTTCCCACTTGGGCGACTCTGGCGATAATCACAACCCTAGCCGCCTCACCCCTCCCCCTCCCCTTTATCGCATCCGTGTGAGATCGTCGATGGGAAAGCCCACACAACCACTAAGGACGGCGGCGGCGAGGTATCTTCCTTGGGTTGCTTCTTCTGGTCGCTTTTGGCGAGTATGATCTTGTTGGACATCGATCACATGTCCATGCTCCAATCACTTCCTGGGCCATGTCGACGTGTGGTGGCTACTTCATCATGTCATTTCCAGGTGTGCCTTTGTTCTTTGACATCCTCGCTGCCTACTCTCTCCCCCTCTCGGTTGTTCCTTGCCAAATCTGACACCGATTCCGCCAGATCTGGCACATCCTCCTCCCCGCGACTCCTCTCCGGTCGACAGCGGGTGGGTTTTGATGTTTGGTGGTTGGTCGCTTTTGCTCGAAGACCTTTTGGTTTGTGATGATGTGGGCGTCACTGTCAGTTATCTCTTCCTCATATCGTGCGCGGCCTCCACCCCAGCTTGTGCGACTCTAGTGATAATCACAACCCTAGACGTCCCACATCCACGCCCTCCCTTCTCTCCACCGTGTGAGATCATCGGTGGGAACGCCCACGTGACCGCCAAGGACGGCGGCGGCGGGGTATCTCCCCTCATTTGCTTCTTCTGGTTGCTTTTACATAGTACGATCTTGTCGGACACCGATGGCTTGGCCATGCTCCAGTCGCTTCCTGGGGCCATGTCGAGGTGCAGTGGCTATGTCTTCATGTCTTTTCAGGTGTGCCTCTATTCCTTGCCATCCTCGCCGTCCACTCTCTTCCACTCTCAGTCATTTTCTTGCCAAATCTGCCAGTGGTTCCGCCGGATCTGGCACATCTTCCTCTGTGTGGCCCCTCTCCGGCCGGTAGTGAGTGGGTTTGGACGTTTGGTGGTTTGTCTCTTCCGCTACAAGGCATTTTGGTTTGTGATGGTGTGGGTGTCATCGTCGGTTATCTTTTCCTCATATTGTGCGGGTCCTCCACCCCCAGCTTGGGCGACTCTAGCAATAATCACAACCCTAGCTGCCTCACATCTGCACACACACCCGTTGTCATCATCGTGGGAGATCGCTAGTGGGAAAGCCCAAGCGACCACCAACGATGGCATCGGCGAGGTATGTCCTCCGGGTTGCTTCTTCTTCTCGCTTTTGGTGAGTAGATCTTGTCGGACATCAGTCGCTTGTCCATGCTCCATTCGCTTGCTGGTGTCGTGTCGAGGTGCGGTGGCTACTTCATCATGTCAGTTTAGGTGTGCCTATGTTCCTTGCCATCCTTGTCGCTCACTCTCTCCCCCTCTCAGTCGTTTCTCTTGCCAAATCTGGCAGTGGTTCCGCCGGATCTGGCACATCTTCCTCCTTGTGGCTCCTCCCTGACCGGGGGTGGGTGGGTTTTGACGTTCGGTGGTTGGTCGCTTCTGCTCAAAGGCCTTTTGGTTTGTGATGGTGTGCGCGTCACCATCAGTTTGTTTTTCCTTATATTATGCAGGTCTTCCACCCCCAGCTTTGGCGCCTCTAGCAATAATCACAACCCTCGCCGCCTCACATCCCCCATTCTCGCCATCGTGGGAGATCGCCATCGAGAAAGCCCAAGCGACCACCAAGGACGGCGGTGGCGAGGTATGTTCCCTCAATTGCTTCTTCTTGTCGCTTTTGGTGAGTATGATCTTGTCGAACGCGGTCGCTTGGCCATGCGTGCTCCAGTCGCTTCCTGGAGCCATGTGGAGGTGTGGTGGCTACTTCATCACGTCGTTTCAGGTGTGCCACTATTCCTCGCCATCCTCGGTTGCTTCTTCATCATGTCGTTTCAGGTGGCTACTTCATCATGTTTCAGGTGGCGAGGTATGTTCCCTCGGTAGCTTCTTCATCATGTCGTTTCGGGTGGCTACTTCATCATGTTTCAGGTGGCGAGGTATGTTCCCTCGGTTGCTTCTTCTTGTCGCTTTTGGTGAGTATGATCTTGTCGGATGCGGTCGCTTGGCCATGCGCGCTCTAGTCTCTTCCTGGAGCCATGTCGAGGTGTGATGGCTACTTCATCATGTCGTTTCATGTGTGCCTCTATTCCTTGCCATCCTCGCCGCCCACTCTGTCTCCCCCTCCTGATCTTTTTCTTGCCAAATCTTTCAGTGGTTCTACCAGATCTGGCACATCTTCCTCCTTGTGGCTCCTTCCTGGCCGATAGTGGGTGATTTTTGACGTTTGGTGCTTGGTTGCTTTTTCTTGAAGGCCTTTTGGTTTTGTTATGGTGTGGGCATCCCCGTCAGTTATCTCTTCCTCATATTGTGCGGGGCCTCGACCCCCAGCTTGTCAGTTGTACTGGCTATGGGCTTCATTACAGGTGTTTGCTTCCCCCCTTCCTCCAGTTAGTGCCCGTCCACCTTCATGCCCTCTCATCTACGGCTTAGGTGACGGCTGGTCCGATAGTGATGGAACGGTGTCGTTGTTGCTCGGCAATGTTGCGCCTAGGCTCGTTCAGGAAGTGTTGTCCTTATGTTTGATTGTGATTTTGCCCCTGGGGTGCTTGTGTGTTAGTCGTTGTCATCTTCGTGGCTGTCGAGTTTGGGTCGTGTTACAGTTGACTGGTGTCCAGGCTCTTGCAGCAGATGTTTCTCGCCTTTTCATGTCGTATGATGCAGCTTAAGCTAGGATTGCTCGTCTCCGGTCCTGGATCCGGTTCTTTAGGGTATTTGATCTTAGGTCATTTAGATTCTTCCTTTCCGGGTCATGCCTCTTTGGCGTTGTAGGACCTCGCCTTTTGGCGATGTATCTTTCTCTTTCAATGAATTGACACCTAGTAACTCTTATGCATGGTTGGAGGGGAAATGTTCTATGGCTCTTAGGGCATCTCCAGCCGTTGAGCCCCCCAGGAGGCATTTTTTTCACCGCCTGGGGGCTGCCGGCGATAATTTTAGCCTGGGTGTCAAAACAATTCCACTCGTTGTCCCCCCACCCCATCTCCATCTCCCTCGCCATCTGCTTCTACTCCTGCTCCTCGTGGCCCTGCGCCGTCCCGCCCTCGCCGTCCCGCCCACGGCCGCGCCGCGCCCGCCCGCGCTCGTCATGACCACGGCCGCACCCGTCCCGCCCACGGCCGCGCTCGCCACG